TTCGTGAAGAACTTTCCTAGGATAACTTCGTGCTGCAATCGTGCAGAAGATTATTTGGCTCTTCAGATTATAGACGACGCAGTCCAAGGATCGTTAATCTTCTGGTTCATTCAGAGCGGACTGCAACGGAAGTGTCCTGCTTTTGGCGGAGACGTCGGAAAATCCCTCCACCTGAACTTCGGTAGAGAGCTGCGGAAGCTTTGCATAGACCAAACATGAGTCTACCTGAGAAAGCAAAACTGTCGGACATTTCACACGAACTTCACTTAACCGCTCAGTCACCCGACTATGAAAACGGTTCGAATAAGAAGTAGAAGGTACGTTAGTCAAAGCAACTTACGGACGATGTCGCATCATTCCTTCAGCAAGACGAACAACGGCTGACCTCTCATAAAATCGGCATTCTAGCACACTTAACAAGTTTAGCTTTATGTAGTCTCTTAGAGATCGAGAAACTATCTTACCTGTATGCAAATTCTCAAAACTCATTAAACATGCTGAACTAAAAGATCGTCAAATTCGGAAGCCATTCAATATTCTCGGAAGCACTGAGGCATGATTGTACGCTATAATAACGGATGCTAAAGTCTGACTACCGGGTGAATTTACGAAACGAGGTGTTATCATTTATTACCGAAGCGACTTATATTGCGAGGTTTTGGTGGATTCAGACCCACAATAGACAGATTCTCGTTGATGCGTCGTGCAGTTAAATGGCAGTAACACCTACGGTATACCTTTGGTTTGTCTCCCACCAAGCTCTACACCAGAAACTGACCACCAACTTGCGAAAGATAAACGATACAGTCTAAGGGGAAAGTACACCCACATCCTTATCATGGGTAATTTCAGCGTACATTGCTTAGGAACTCCTACTACAATCGCAGAACAATACAAAGCAGAGCTGCAACAGCTCGTATCCGGTGTCACAAGTTACTATCATGTCATTTTGCACACTCGTTTCAGAAGAGGTAATAGACCATCTTTGTTGGATATTGCGTACACCAACGAGGAATACATGAATAAATTACTGGTTTTAGGCTACTCTATGTGTCATTTTTTCATGCCGTCACCAGCTTTGACTTTTTCTGCTCTGCTGAACATCGTCAGGAAAAAGCAGCGATGGTTTACCTCATTGCATGCTGCGATCGCTAAGCACAGCACGTCAGAGCCACAACCCGGTCTTTCCTCGCCGAAGGCTACCCAGAAGTCACTTGGCTCGAATTTGTCAACAACTTCAAACAAATGGTTACGGACGTCTCAGATACCACAGTATGCAATGGGCCTAAAACCATTGCTTTCGCAATGAGCAAAACTGGAACCTGGGTGTCTGTATGTAAGGAAGCCTAAAGAGAGTATGGATAATCAACAACGACAAATAATGGAGACAACTACATATCACATCGAAACCCCTGCACTTGACTGCTCGGATAGTACGAAGCTACATAGCAGCATAACATGAACTATTTCAGCGCTAACCACAAAATGCTACACATGCATGTCATATGTCGTCTTAAAGTGAGGCAGGTAATTCCTCCCCTCCGGTCTCATGATAGTCTCATTAGAACTGTTACAGAAGCAGCAAACGAGTTCAGGACACAATTTGCTCCCACATTTTAGAGTTTTACAATCAGGAAATCTTCCAGCCTTATTTTCCTATTTCAAGGACGCTTCCATATCTCTTTTACTGCCAAAGGTCCATTTCAGAACCTGAGTTCTCTTCGCAACCGCAGCTCTTCGAGCAGTCGATGCCGTTCGCCGAGAGGCACTAGGAAGAGCAGTAAGATAGCTGGAAAAAGCTTTAGCCCAGCTTTTTTCAGTGCTGCTTAGACCGAAACCAAATTCCCTTCATGTGTAAGCTTGGAATAATAACTCCTACTCACAAAGGTGGAAGAAGGACTGGGCCCTCAAATTGCCGCCCTTTGTCTCTTCCCCCTGTATTGTCCAAGCTTTGGGAAGCCATCATTGTTGACGCGTTGGGGTGTTATCTAGGAAGCTGTAGTATTATCGCTTCGCATCAATATGGATTTCGTCGACGTCGATAGTGTACAACGAATTTACTACTCGCACAGAGTAGTTGAACCGAGTCAGCTGACGCTGCATAGGCCGTTGATTTGAGCTAATTGGATTTGTCGAAGGTATACAATCGTTTAATCATCAGATTCTCCTTGTCAAGCTCCAATATTGAGAGATCGGTGACTCTGTATGGATTGTCAAGTTTCTCCTGCAAAGAAAGTTAATTGTCAAAGTACGGAGTTCCTCAGCTGACGCCATATTAATCTGTTGCGGTGTGCTTTAGGGCTCATTTTAGGGTCGCGATTGTTTTGGATGTTTACTAACGACCTCGCATAGAAAACCGTTTAAATATTCTACTGTTTGCTGAAGACGTAATAATATGGCGCGTGGTTCGGGCGGATACCGGTCAGAAAATACTTCAGTGCGACCTAGCAATTAACTTGTTGCTTCAGGGTAAATAATGTTGCTTCTGGCAATCCGGCCAGTAGCTGAATCTTTGAAAACAATTGCTTGCTTGAGGCTGGTGTTTTGTTAAATCCGAAAATGCATCGGAAAATCGTAACCGACACATTTGCTTGTCACGACAAGCGTTCGGACAAATAGATACTTCTATTTTCAGTCAGATGCTCAAGACGTATGTTCGTTCCCATGTTGAATACGCAATTAACACATGACATCCATGGCTGAAGCACGAGCTCTCCGCATTGGACTAACTTCAACCTCGGGCTTCCAAATACCTTACTGGAACGCGAAATCTACCATATGAATTAAGAGTGAAACGTTTGGGAACATTCGGTGGGCGGTATCTCTGACTATGAGGTGACCTGGTAACGGCATACTTTATTTTACACAATCTAAGTCATATGTGCTACTGTTTACTGCAACTCAACAGTAACATCAAATATAGAGGCTACTCCTTGAAATTAGTAAAACAATACAACGGTCTGGAGTTCCATAGAAATTTCTTTTCCATTCGTGTGTGTCAAACAACAAATCGGTTGTTTCAGTATCCACGCTAGCAATATTTAAAAGCCGGTTGGTTGACACACTGCTCCGCCTACATTTTGTCACTTGACATTACTCTTCATCATCTGGAAAATAAATTGGGTTTATATTTTTGCCTATTAAAACTATGGGAACACTCAGAGTGCAGAGCAACTGCGTATAAAACTATAAGTCACTATGTACCATAAAAGTAATAAGTGGGTTTTCTTAGATGATTTTTGATAACCCAACAGTCTACCCAAAGTGGTTGTAGAGCAGTGCTTCTTACCCAGTATAAATTCATTGTTTATTGTTCTTGGTTCATGGTACCTTAGCGAAGAACAAAGTAATCACTTAGTTTGCCGTCATTTTTAGAACCATAGTGAAGGTAAATGCATTATCACCAAGAATGCCCGAGGTGTGACACCTTCAACGCAGAAGAAGTGGTGATATTTTGCTTTAACTTTTCTGAAATTAACGATTTCATTAAGACAAACACCATTCAAACAACTATAGATATGAAATCGTCAGAAAACCTAAATCCTTCAAAATTCATCTCTGACTAAGAGCGGAAGAAGCACTGGATGGTAAAATCACTAGAATTGGGCTCATAACTGAGCAGTTGACACTATTACAATGTAACAAAAGCAACTAGGTTAACCACACTTAAAATATATCTCCGCTTTCTGCGCAAACGTGTAGCGTATTTTATGCAGTCTGTGAAGTGAATTTTCCTAAAGAATTCATAAGATTATCTATCAGACCCATGTATCGCGTTCTTTTTCGAAATCGCATTAAGTCTGAACCCGTAAAGTTTATATCCACTTTGCTTGCCATTATCTTCCACCACCGCTGAGTTTCTCGCAACAGAGTGCAGCACAAATTCATAAAGTGGCTAAGTTTAGATCTACACATTCATAAAACTAACAGGAATGAGAATAGCTACCTCAGGATGACTTGGACAAAATCCTATGGACCTCCAGATGTTGCAGACAATAAGAGTCTGATGGAAACTAATTACTAATAGGTATCCACTGTTGCTTCATTTCGAAAATGTGTTTGTGGTTTAGGTCGGACAAAACCCAATAACAATCTGTTTTATTTGTGGTTTTGTAGGAAATTATTCAGGAAGCCAACCGGACATAACAAACTGAGCACTCAAGAGTAAAGCTAAAATAATATGCTGCGTAAGCAAAATCGATTCGTATCACCAGCAAACAAAGCCGAGTCTGTTCCTCTTGGCTGCAACTTCCGACAAACAGAGAGGTTCTTTCGGTTCAACAAAACGCAAGTGGACAATAAATCCAAGGATTCACAATGTATCATCCAAAGAAATTTCTACCATTGTGCTAGTCTAGCTGGTCTATCCAAACTGCCAAAATTATAGCCATAAGCTGGCTGCTGAACGCTGATCCAGTTGTCGAAAATCTGAAGCCGATGACCGGTTGTGCGGAGCCGGAAGTAAATTTGGAGCGCTCAATTTAGAGGTACATTCATTTATGGTGTTTGCCGAGAGATGCGCAGGAGCTTGGTATCTACCAAACCAGATTTTCTCGACGTAAGTTGGTGATTGTTGTCACATGATAACTACTTATTCCGCTAAGGCAATACTCTTGTTGCCTTAAGTCCCATCAGAAATAACTTCCTTATATGTTAGCAGACGGGGTAAGTGATATATATATCTTAGTTAGCCAGAAAGGATAATGCTGCAGGTCTGCGTATCCTTCATACTTGGTAGTACGTGTATTAGTTATTCAGCAAGTACATGAATTGACATTGATACTTTACAAACCCAGTGCTTCCAAGCTCACTACTCTATTCACAAATGTTCATATTCTACCAAAGTACCGTGCTCAACAGCACACTATAAAATGTAGCCCATAACACCTACCATGACATAATGAAAAGTGTTAATTAATTTCGGATTCCTTGGCAGCAGAATTAGATGATTTGGGTTAAGGAAAGGAATACTGGGTTTTGCACTCTGTGGTAAATCTTACCCGTGAATTTCAATTGCTTTGAAGCTTCAAATGAATCGGTTAGAAAACTGTGCGACTGTGCATCATAGTTATCCATTTGAACCACACTGAGATTATATACATCGTTCGTTGGGTTTATCTGTTCGATTCTGTTGCTGCAATTGATCCCGGTGTAATGAATATCGCAAGAATGACCGCAAGACCAGACGGGTTGCATGTCGTAATGTCGGATTGCATGTACTGGAGTCGTGTGTGTGTGCGGTAACAGATAAGGCTCGCTGTCACGAAGTTCGTTATTCATCCTTCCCCAGCTGCAAGTTCGTGTTTGACGGCGCCCGTTACTTGGACGCATTATAGTGTCTACTTGTTTCACGTGATCTCTGATTGCAGTCGAATGCTGCCTAGTGGTTTCTACCGTCAGTGGAGTGAAACGGTTAGAAAAGAAAGATTTGCTTAAACAAATGGCTGGAGCCAGAGAGGGAACATTCACGGTAACCTTTTTCATTGTGCAAGCGTAGCCCGACCTGTTCATTCCATACACGCATATTACAGTAAAAGTGAAGAGAAGTATGCTCAAAATGGAGTAGCCCAGTGGATACCAGAAATTATCTCCGCGTTTCGATGCGCCGCCTGCTGTCCTGACATGTCCGTTATGTTGGAGGCTAGTGTTTGCGCTAGGCCGCTCCTCAGCTTGAAACAAATCCAGATGAAAAAATGTTTTCAGCAAAAGCTCTTCATGCTGCACGGTTGATTTTAAAAGTAGGAGTACTGCATCTGAGCAAACGGAAATTAATGAGAAGATGCCCGAATCAGACTAATGATAAAGAGTAGAATGTAAAAACGAATTGCATAAAAGCGTTTTGACGAAACCCGTTTCAGAAGCAAGTACTCATGGGCTAATTTCCTACGCAAAGCAATTTAAAATGAACTGCTGCATCGGTTTATTTAGTCAATTTGTGTTCATTAAAGTATGAATATTAAGTGCAACCATAAATAAATGTTTGTCTCTCACCTCAGCGGTACAACTTACGATAACGTTTTTAACTCACAGAGGCTGCTTAACTGGTTACCACTTCTTACATATGAACCTTTGAGGCCGTTAATGTAGTTATGAAACTATTGTACGAAACAGTCCCAGAGAACTTAATGTTGTTACCCGTTTTGAGACGCTTTATGCAAACCTGGTAGAGATATAGGTCTGGTATCTGATGACTGATATGAAGTAGGCTTTGTTGTTATAAGGTTGTACTACAACGAAAACCATTGTCTATGTTTAGTCACATTAGTTCAGTTGAACAACTGTGTTATGAGCACCGAAGTGTGTTGGATGCAGTTACCACAACTCAAACGTAAAACAATAAATAACAATGCTAGGACGATGGATTTGGGTGCAAATCGAAGGTAGAGAAAATAGAAGCAAGTGGGAAATGCGTTAGACTATTGAGGTTGGAACGAAAAGTAACAACCAAATGCAAGAAAACGAATGTAGGAATGCCACCAACTTCATGATCGCGCCATGTATGACACGTTCTTCAACCATTGGTGTGGATTACCCCGAGGACCCATCCACGAAGAAGCACGCACCAGACGGACCAAAAACCTCAGTCAATTTCTTCATGCCTCTATGCCACGTCTTGGACGGGGCACATCACGGTTTCAAATAAGTTAGTGCTGCCGTGACGTATACTGCACGTCTAGGAACCTGATCAACGGGCATACGGAGGTCATGGCTTAGCCAACGCACGCCCACCCGGTGTTCCCACCAGGCGTGAGCAATACTTCGCAAGCATCGGCGGCCAAACACGATCAAGCGTTTAATATGTTCGCCGCGAACTGGCCAGGTATCTGATCCATGCAGTAACACAGACCGTATGGCAGCGTTATACACTGAACCTCTCACTGGCAAGCCGATATCTCGCCGTATCCATAGATGGTTGACCCTCTGCAAAACCACACCGACCTTGCTGATACGCGAAGTATAATTCTCAGTGATGCGGCTATCAGAGGTGGCACAGCTACATAGGTAAGTGAACTGATCCTCCACTTTCAGTGGCTGTTCAGAAATGAATAAAACCGGAGGTTTGTCAGTCCAGTTCTGCAACAGCCCTTCGTACTTTAAAGGTGCAAAGTACAAGCCGAAGTGTGCAGCACTACGCCAAATTAGATACACTAGTGGTTGCATCGCCAATGCATCAGACGTAAATATAACTATGTCGTCCGCATACTCCATGTTTGTCAGTCGGCCGCCTGGCGATACATCCCCTCCAGAATAGTCTGAAAGAACCAAGTCATTCATGATATAGAACAACGCTGGCGAACACCAATGGCTGTGGTGAGCTTAGGTGAGGTTTTCTCGTAGAGCCTTACAAGGGCTGGGGAATGACGGCAGAGGAAATTCAGAATAGAAAGTGTATAGCTGGCTTGAGCTTCACGGTAGGCAGTGCCACAAGCTGTTTTGATCAACAGAGTAGAAGGTAGCTTTCAATTTAAGTAGAGCCGACAAAGTAGGTTGTCTGTAGCTGCAACTAAGATCTAACACTTGGCGGTTCGAAAACGGCATAGCATCAAGTGGTCTGGGATGCTGAACACTACCTGTTTGACTGTGACTTGGATCTTGCAAAAATGCATTTATACAAAGTATTCTACAAGAAGCCAATTATGTTTTGTCACGTTTTCGTGTTACTTCCAGTGGTGTGTTGCGTACAAGCTTATGCAGGTTTGCTCATAATTGACGGAATACGTGTGCCGGAGCCAGCTTGTTTATTTTCGACTGATCAGTGGTGAGAAACACGCATTTCCGCGACGTTTAATTTAGAGTAATTTAAGGCCACGGCAAGTTTCCGTTAGTTCAGCCAATTTATTGCAGACTGCATACGGTGTTAATAGCCAATAGAAACCTAAGGACAGTTATATATAACAAACATGATAGCTGAATGGGTAGGAACTCTGAGATTGCCTCTTCTGCAAGTGTTACAGTAATGAAATTTTGGGCTCAAACAATCCAACCCAGTGACCATTCTACTTTGCGAAACTTAAGGTTAGACCGGATAATGGTAGCTAAATCCGGAGAAAAACAAACGCTGCATGAGTGACTGAAAGCACGCTATTTAGTTCGTCCGATTGAGTTATACACATCTACAAGTTACATTTAGTTTCGGGGTTCTATTGGTAGTCCCCTAACATTTAGCTTTACCATCTATCTATCATTCACGATAAACTTCATCGGCCGGCAACGGTTAGGTTTTGTGTGGAACCTAAACCCTAAAATGTTGAACACCATTTTAATCTGTCAGTCAAAACTTTCCAGAAGCAGCCATGCAACGGGGATTTTTATGTAATTTGAGTTGATTTCGCTAGCCAACTGCACTTTATTTTGAGAATTACATATTTGGGTCTAATCAAGAGTTAAGCTAAGGTGATGCCTTAACATGAGGTGTGGAACTGCATTACAATTTAATTGGTTTCCAATGCCGTATTCAACACATTGTCTTACCCTTGGTCGTACAAACGGATCTCAAGTGATTAAAACGTCTAGTGGCGACCGTATACTGGTGAAGCTAATGTGGCGATAATTATGCACTTTTGTTCACTATGTGTCTATGGCGGCTGAATTCTCAACCCCACACCTTGAACCTCTATTAAAGCTATGCGGTTACTCAACAATATCTTGATGCGGAACATAAAATGCCTACTAACCCTCTGTAGGGACTGTTTGGATGGTGGCCACAGTGATGCGGGTAAACCTCAGCAGAGAAGCCTAACTCGCCACGACTAGGTGGCTTGCGGGTAGCGAATTTATTTGACATCTCAAAATGCATAGTCTGAGTCACAGTACTGCAACCTCTGCCCGATGCTGCGAATTAGGTAAAAACTTGTGTTGGTGTTGTATTGCGAGCTAGTACTTCACGCATTAATCTGACTGGATTCGTTCGCCCTTGAACTCCGAGAGGGTGGTGTTGTAACACTCATGCAATACATCTGATTGGCGACTTTCCACATACATTCACCTACTGGCCATAAGGTGCAAACAGCTGTGGAAATGACTTCCACAAAGTTGGCTTTGGTGCCACCAGTTCCGTACATGTAGCTTCGGAACAGGTTGGCGGGGACCGGCTGGCACAAAGGAATACCATTTCCCCTCTATAAATTCACATTCTATGTTTCCCAAGGAGTGTGGGAGCTTATTTTTCTATTCCTATTAATTAATTAATTAATTATTCCTATTAATTATTGCAACCTACATCCTTAAGCCACTGACCGAGTTTCTAAACTTTCTTCACGTTCTTGGAGAAGTGTGGAGATGTGATCTGTTGTACTTGGCCAAAGAAACTTCCGCGAAGATGATTCGTGACGGTTTAGGCTGTGATAGCATTAAGAAGAATCATGAGCAAAGGCATTTCTATTAGCAGTAAAGTATCTCTCCCAAAACTGCTTAAATACACAGCACGACGGTAATGTGTGCCAACGTTCTAAAATTTCTCATCAGTAAAGTTTTCCAATGAACTGCAGGTGGACAGACTTTAGTCTGGAAAGTGGATTTTAATCAAACCATATTAGGATGGTACTTTTGCTTATTGGCACATTTGTTTATAGGTCATATTTTTCAGTTCCAGCAGGTTGTCCTCATTTTATCTCAATGACGAGTATTGTATTGATGAAGCAGTGAGATGGTCCAACTCGGTTTCTACTGTCATCAGTTACACTAAGAAAAGAATACTAAGGACAAGAACAATAAGAACAAGAACACTAAGAACGGGTAGCAAACCATACAAATGGATCAAATGTTTCAGACCTTCTTCAGTTCAGAGAACAAACATCATCCTAACACTAAACTCCCCTTTTCATTGCGTTCACTATTCACCAGCTGTAAACTCCGGTCGCTGTGTAAAACCACGCAGATAGCTGGAAACCAGTACTGTTGCTACAGCTGTCACCAAATAACATGGATATCGCAGCCGCTTTTGGTCACTCGAGGTATCCTTTAATATTATGCAGAATGACAAAACTTCGAACTCTAACTTTGCACCGATGACTCCGGCAGTTGACTATTAGTTATGATAGCTCCACGGAATGCAAGGCACATCTCGCTTTTTTATACTGACATTGAAACTGGTGACATGGAATGGTGTTTATCAACCTCGGCTTCCCGCAGACTAGAGATCATTTTCTTCCTATGTTCAAGGCTTAAATTGGTACGTTAGTTGTATTTCTGTGCTAACATCTAACTGATGTGTAACGATGGTCCAGGGAATAATTTAGAGAGCTCTAAACTTTCTGTCGGAAATAGACTAGTTAGAAATAAACCTATTTTTTTGTCATCAGTAAAATATGAAGCAAGCTAAAGCCTGTGCAATGCTGACATAGATAATTCTAATTCATATTAAATGTTCAAAGGACTGTCATCAGCAAACATCTTATTACAGAGAAGCTAGGTCTATCAACAGTTATTGTTTAAAAATTTAGGAACTATGAGGACAGCTTTGGATCGTGTATGTTAAGCAGACAGTATGTTCTTCGAATGTGTTAGCCTTATTTTCACCTCAATGCAACAGTGGCGTTAGAAGTGCACGCGACTGAAGCTGCAACTGTGAGGGCTGAGGTAGCATATCAACAGTTAGGTAAACTGTGGTGTATGTTGTGATTTGAGTTCGCGATAGTTAATGGTTATGTAATTTTCTGGGTTTATACGGACAGATTTGTGGTCTGCAAGTACACCTCAAACGGTAACGAAGCAGCTGTCAAACAACGGGTTTTTACTTATGAACCCACAACTCACAACATTGTAAGAGCTTGCTCAGTACATGCGCACCGGACACACACCATTTTGTTGATTATCTTTGATCCGCTACGAAGGCTATGTTGTAAATTTATAGTGATGTATGCTTCTAGTAATTATCTTGAATGATACAGCTTAGAGTTCTCCCAGCCATCTCGTCAGACTTACTTAAAATAGGCTGCGGAACCTTGACCTCGTCCGAAGGTTCGCTGATGCACATTAAGCCGTAACTGCGCAATCTAAAGCGCAGATCCTGCGATTTCTCTATCAAGTGAACTTCAGTCGCTCTATCAGAGGATGCGAATAAATCGGAGTGCTCCGATCCGGCGTGAAATAGGAAAGTAGTGCTTGGTACTCGTACTGGCGCCAAAGTAAACCATTGATGTATTTGTTCTGGTTTGGAGGTGCCTATCCGCCTAATGAGATTGGCCGGAATAGCGGGACTTGGCTTTACGCTGTATTCTATTCGGTAAAATAATGCGACTGCGTCATAAGTTGTAGACTTGATATTATGAATCGCTTTCCATTGCAACCCAATTGGATATGTGATGTTTTCCAAATGTGAAAGCTTCGTTTTCACTGGGTAGAGTAGCTGAAGGCCAGACGGTTTGGGCAGTTCCTGAACTGAATTTCGGAAAATGCGAGAACATAATGAATGGAAAACCCATGTGCCTTATGGGATGCAAAAGTTAAAATCTGAAACGACTGAGAGTTTCTTGCTAACTTTTGTGGATTAAGTAAGAAATGCTGTTGTGTAGAATCCGGTGCAATTTCCAGCGCAAAAGGTTACGCAGATGGCAGTCAAACCACACAGTTTCTAGCCTATAACTTAATTAAAGTTTTACTAGTAATGACGCAATATGTTTAGGTGGATGATTAGCACCAAAAAATCTACTTTGAGTGTTAACGTTAACATACCTAAGCTCATTATGGCCGTGACACTGCTTTTTAATTTAAGCAGTTTTGCCACTTTATGCGAACAGTAAGGCCAGGGAATATGTTGGAGAACCCGACATTTCAACGTTCTTGTAAGCAAGCACATGTGCTGCAAATCTGGCACTCAGGTTCACCTGTGGTTAGCTCAAAGTGGTCAAACTTAAACATGTATCCTTCCTGACCAAAGTAAAGAAACTGCAGGTGTGTTTATTGAATGGTTGCACTAAATTATACGTGTCTAGCGTAGATCAACAGCAAAAGCGCAAAACTAAGTTACCGCCAATAAATCATAAACAGTGAATTTGAGGTTTTACAAAAAGGGCGAGTGGAGGTGGTTTATACAACATGGTATTTAAGTGAACAATTATTCACTTGAATGGGGGTTGGATAATTTGTCAGAATATCCTACTCTTTATACCAGAGGGCGGAAAAGAATGCTGAGAATGGTAAGCGAGTATATTCCAGTGATTGCTGGCCCGATTTTTGGTTAATAACGACCTTAATTGTGCAAGGTTAAAACTAGAGTTACTTTATGACCCTGCACTTTAATGCGTAGTGAATACACAAAATTTTCAGCGGCGCATAAACGGACTGCATGAATTTAATTGTTTACCTGCCCGGTTCCAGTAGAAACAGCATGAATGTTTGGGCGTGTATTACGTACAAAGCAATACTACATGCAGAATAGCAATTATGGACTAGAGAAATGTTGACTTTCCATATACTACACACCGTGATCGGCTTCATTGTTTCTCTACTCTCTGGATAAAGATTACTGGTGTTGAGAGCCAAACCATGCACTTATTGGCTAAGAGTTAATGCGCGTACCACTAAACAGATGTTGGGAACGGTGACTAAAAGCACGATGTCCATTTTTGTCGTTTGTCCAATGCTACAAGTAACTGAGACTAATTTAGTAACAATTGTCCGCTGCGATTAATTTCATAAAGTAGACAGGTATTGATTTAAAGCATTTGTGTAAGCGAATACGTCTGCATTAGGTTAAAGGTCCGAGGTCTGGTATAAGAAGTGACTTATCCTCTGGTTAACTACCCTGTTGGCACTAGACTAAAAGCTATGCGGACAACACAAAGATAGCGATACTGAAACTCGATGGGATTAAACATAATTCAGCCACCGTGATGAAGTCGGAATAGGAATGAACCGTTGTGCACACCTAACGATTAAAAGCCAACAGGTCAGGCTTACATTAGAGTTTCCTTGAGCCAAACTAACGGAGGGTTAACGATGGGTTTCTGAAGTTTAGTCCAGGCGAAGAATAGAAGTGTGAGAGGAGCGACGACAAAGCAAAATATGAGCATTATGGCTCACTGAATACAAGTTTCATTCAATACGCACCATGTTCAGTATCGATGGGTATATTGGGTACATCCGAATTGGAAGGTTCCTGGAAGTGATTTTCTTCGGTCACGTGCTTATCATGTGGTCGAGTTTTAACTTGCAATGTTGTACTACTCGCAGTAGCCGAGTTGAGATTGCACCACAAAGACATTCTGAAAGCGTAGTGCTCATCTGGAATAAGTCCTCCGATCCATATCCTACGAACGGTGGCTGATGGCATAGTATCTGTCGAGGTACAGAAAGCATAATCGGGTGGAACGGATGGGGTGAGGACGTAAAATCTGAGGCACACAGTGCTCGTTCAGTTTCAATCAAAGACATCTGGGGAAAAGACAGAAATCAAGGTTTGGTGTTCATCTGGTTCGAGCAAATACGGTAACTTGGTAAACCGTTTGTTCTATTCAAATATTAATTATATGTAGTTTTCTAGGCAGTAGTCGCATAAACGTATACACAAATGTACATGATTGATGACATTTTGCAAAGTTTTATCAACACCGCAAGCTACCAGTTGATCACGATTCCAGTAAAAGTTCATGAAAACTTAACTGCACAGATTTTTGTGCCTCCGCTTTCCTATCTAATCCCGCTAGTTTAAATGTATGGCGATGAAGGATAAAAAATAAGTAAACACAGTAGGGAGTGACTAGCATTTAGTGTCTTTAGATAGCCATTACTTGCCAGGCGACAAACGTGACTCGCAATGTGAATCAAATGCTCCAGTGAGTACGCAGACCAATTTGGGCCTTGTGTGCATATTACAGGTGATCTAAGTTATAGCAGAAGTATGCGGTACTCGCAACGCGGCCGCTTTCAAGGGAAAGGAGGAGGCAAGATGGCTTAGTGAAAGCAGCACAAACAAAACACGAAGCTTTGAGCAAACAGTTGTTTTCGATTACTTCTTCATTAGGCTCATACAGTAATATACATTAGGTTAACGTCTGTTGCAATCGTTAGTGTAACAAATAAAGCAACAGTTGATCAGAAAATTTAACTTGTGATCATGATGGCATTCATCTGATCACGTGCCTTAAGTCAGGTGGATTTGTGGAGTACCATTACTTCCTTCACGGCTGGTGGTCGGCCAGGGAAGTTGTAGTGTTTGTATTATTTTCTTCTGAACACACAAGTCCGGATTTGTTAGACGTATGCATATTGCCTCAGCTGTGGCGAGTATGCTTGCTCTTAGATGATGGTTTTGTCTTGCTGGTATTTTGAAGAGAATTTAAAAGGCAGTTCGTTAGTCTATCTGGTGACCTGTGTTTATTAGATGGTTTGTAATCGCACTGTAGTTTGTTCTATTCTCGCGCTTGTAGGGCCAACCTGGCAGGTGTTCCTTAATTCTCTTACCTAGATGCCTGGTCGTCCGTCCAACGTACCTGGCCCCGCACGGCCAGGTGAACCGGTAGATTAACATCGATTGGAGATGATCAGGCACTCGGTCTTTGAATCTCGGAACTAGTAAAGGTCTGCTGGTGAAAATCGCATTCAGCTGAGCCGCATTAAAGGTCTTTTTGCAGCTTTGCTGTAGTCGGCGTGTGCATATCTCAGCCGCACTATTTCCTTTAAATGGGAGTGTCAAGTAAAGCTGCTGTTTGCTCAAAGCTTCGTGTTTTGTTTATGTTTCGAAACTTGACGTAACAAATGGGCATTCTACTTGAGTTGAAAGCAGCATAGTTAAGTAGAATTGGTTGACAGAATTTCAGGACTGTATATTCACCGACCTTGAAATGCGGTTGTTAGTAGTTGTGGAAAATCAACTGATACTGACTGGCCAGTAAATTCTTGTTTTCTACTGAACTTGGGATTATACGTTTCACAATGATCATCCCGGTTATTGTGGTCAGAGAGGCACCGATGTGGTAGTTAAAATACCTTAATCATGCAAACTGAATTCATCGCCCCAAATGAAACCATTTATAGCGGTGTTAAAAGTTAGTAATAAGTCATCTATGGAAATTTTGAAGAGTTCTCTTCGACTTTTGTTTCCTAGCATTTGAGGAAAGTTGCTATTTCAACAGTAGGCCTGCCTCCCTTTATTCCACAAGTCCTATTAGAGAATTTATTAATCTAATAAGAAAGTCCATGAAAAAAGGCTCATGCTTCTTTTCCTACTTTGGAGAGCGAGTCAGTACGGTTCATACGTGGAATAACAATGTCGCAATGGAAAATGTTTTGTAACGGGTAAAAATTAATAGAAGTAGGTCGGTGATAGAAGGATTTTAAATTCAAATATTACATAAGTAGACCTAATAAAATACGCATGGGCAAAGCGATGGAGTAATTACGTTCTGAGAATGTGTGCGGGAGTGAGATGACACAGGCAAAACAAAATAGAAAGTTTTGAAGGTTAATACACCCAGAAATTAAAAAGCTGATTGCACACTTCTCTGATAGATGTACGTGCGTCACTGTATGAAATAATTACCAAATGGCAAATTAGGCTGTTTATATTCAGAATATCCTTTCAAGTGACAAAGTTTAGAGCCTTCAATTCGATATCCAATCATTTTTTGAGAACGACCAAAGGGAGGGCACCGACAACTCAGTATGGTGGGGCGTTCCATGGTTGGCAGACCCTGAATAAGAAGTAATTTTTGTCGACAATCTGGATGACTATGTTGTTTACTCTATTTCAGACCATTGCCTCTGAGGTTGGTGTTCGCGAGGAGTTTCAAAAGGTGGTATCATGCGTTACTAGGGTAGTACAGCATGTAGCAGACTAATAGGAGGCCTTCCCAATGCCACCTGTAGCATCCACTGCATACTCCGTGTCTTCAGCCGTTGTTGTTAGGATAGGTTGCAAAATCCCTTTTCAAAATTCCTTGCGCGATGTTCGGGATTTTCGAGCGCTGCAAAGTCACGCTTTAGCCAGGGTTGCCAAACCTGGAGAGCCCATTCGACCTGGGCATACACGTAGGCGTTGAGCATCAGAGAGACGACGGGTTACTCGAAATTCCCGAATGCCCTCCGCAAGACATCAACATATAGCTTACCTCTTTCTGAAACGGATTTTGACAGCGGACATTGACAACCGAGTTCGTCCTGTACCAGCACAACGAGGTCACGTTCCCGAAAACTTGTCTGCAAAACTTGCGCCCCAAGTTCATAGATGTAGGCTAGTCGCTGGCGAATGTGGACAACGTGGCGCTTGTCCACATTGAATGGCACTGCATTCCTCACCGAACAATGACAGGCCTCGCCAAGTTCAAGCTGGAGTAACTCGTGAACGTCTTTGCCTTTGATCACCCGTCAAATTTTAACATCGTCCGCGAAAAGTAAAACTTTTGAACCGATAGCTCTCGGTAGACCGTTGATGAAAACTAAGAACAAGGGAGGCCTAAGTACCGAAAACTGCGGCACACTGCACTCCAATCGAATCGGGTCGGATAGAGATGTTCAGATTCTAACCAGTAATTGCCGTTCGCGAAGCAAATTACCAATACATGCTAATACTGGATCTCCGATGCGGTAGAGCTGATCTCTGTGCAAGAGGATTCGATGGTCCACGCGACCGAGATTTTTCGAAACATCCATGTAAAAAACATCGATTTCTGTCTCCTCGTCGAAAGCTTCGGTTCAGTGGTCAAGCGCAATCAACAGATTAGTGATAAAAGATCCACCCTGAAGAAACCGGTGCTGCTCCGGCACATTCATGTGGTAGGACACCAGGTAGCCCATCAATGCATCCGCTGTGATCGCTTCCATGACTTTGGCGAGAACAGGGATAATGTTTAACGGAAGGTAAACAACAGGATCATAATGAATTTTTCCTTTGTATTTGGGGTTTATACTTCGTTTCCATGTTGAAATAGCAATGTTTTCGTCCAGCAATGTCTAAAGAAGCCGGCTAGTGTTTGGGCTAGGTGCTTGTCTCCTGACTGCAATGCTTTAAAGTAAATGTTATTCACTCCAAGAGAGCTGTTTGAACGCAAGGATTGTAGATTTTAGCACCGTTTCAGCAGTGAATATGATAATAACACTGAAGTTGTGGTGACAGAAGCAAGTATAGTGTTCGTGCCTTGTACCCATTAGACTTTAGATAACTCCTGTGTCCTTAAGGCGTTGGCCGTCGATTTGTTGTGTGTGTAAATTCACCAACCGTTTTGAGTGGTGTGCTTCGACGCTGTTACTTTCGAAGTCCATTCACTAGTCTGTAAGGAAGCTTTTGGTTCAGACAGAGTGACTTTACTATCTCCTGTTGGTGTGATAACTTGTCTTTACGAACAAACCATACAAAATAATTGCGCAGAGCTACGTACACCGTCCAATATTTTGTGCTAAGTTTGTGCTCGTAAACGCACTAGATCCAATCCCTCAAGACCATACATTTTCGGCTTCTCAGGAAGGAATTGGGTTTGATGGGACGGTGGAAAGCTTTTGACTTTGATGAGTTGGGGACCAGTGATGTGAATGTTTTCAAGTGTTTTCCCAGACTATCTCTGGGGTGCACTCCGCCATGAATGTTCATAAAATATTCTCTACGAATGTGGACCAACTTGTTAATTCTTAGCAGATTGAAACATTTCGTGTTCTGCATCGGAGTATTTGGCTTATTACATGCAATTGAACAGTGAAGCCAAGCGATTGCCCCGGCCAAAAGGACTGCATATATTTAGCCCATCAATCATAAGTTCATCGATGATGAACAGTGGATCGAACATGCATGACTTAATCGTTGTTTTGAACCTGGTGGAATTGGTGACATGATTGTATGGGGGTGTGCTAGAGATTCGCTCTAGCATATGGGCCTTGAAATATTCCGCCTCGGTTGCAGGAGTTTCGAAATCATGGATGTTGAAAAATCTGTAATGAGTATATCGGCGTATTGCTCATGTATCACAATATGGATTGCAGATAATATTCCGTGGTCCTTCTCCGGAGTTGATTTTGGTAGTCCCTGGGGTCTCTATACCGGTCCTGCCGTTGTCGCTAAACATCGTTTTTACAATATCGCTATCGATACACTTTCCTCAGAATATTTCAACATGGATATTTGTTGTTATTTTTAAAGTCACTGCTACTGTCCTCCGCGTAATCTCTGAGAAAAATTCCAGGTACTGCACACGTGAAGATGGACGGTCCCGACTAAAAGCATAGCTTACGGCACTGGCTTTAAATTATTTCGTCCGGAAGTGTTTACTCGTTGCTCCTTCAAACCGATCGTTTATTAAGGTGACACATCTACACAGTGTCCTGTTATCCATTCCTAAAAATTTATTGTT